GGGTTTAGGGTTTAGGGATGAAATTTCCCATGTGGTTTGCGAGGACTTGTAAATCGTTTCGGACACGCAGAGCGCCCATGAATGTCAGTGGGTCTCGCACAAGCTCCGTGACTATCAAGAAGAGTCGTTGTCTTGTTGAATCAAATCCTCGGGAATCCAACTGCAAACAATACCTATGTTGGGCCCTAAAAGTCCTTATGTCTTACCTACATTGGGCTGTCTGGATCCCTAAGGAACACAGTTCGCCAAAACTCATTTTGCGCTTTTGGCTGTGCCCGTCGGAAGAGAAAGCTTCCTGCACCTAGATGGGTGCCAAAATAATCTGCCTTGCTGTTAAGGAATTTAAGATATTTAGTCAGGTACCCCAGTAGTATACTTTTCCAAGACTTAGCTAACTTACCATAGTAGGGCGAACCTCAAACCCGAAAGTGCGGTAACCTCATATGAGGTGGAAGCCCTACGCCCAAGACACAGATCTACAGTTCCAAGAAATCCTTCAGTAAGTACCCATATGATTTAAAGTAGGGTCTCTTTACCAGGAAGTAGTAAACTCAAAGCCCGAAACCCCTAATCCTACACCCGAAACCCTGTACCCTAAACCCCTAAACCCCTAAACCCTAAACCCTAGAATAGTATTCCCAATTTAGGTACTTAGGATCCTCAATAGTTGCCCCCTCACTCAACAGGCGGTGGCAGATCTCCAAGCGCCGAAGCCAGAGCTTTTACCTCAGTCTTTGATGTCTACAGTTTGGGGTTTAGGGTTGAGGGTTTAGGGTTGAGGGTTTAGGGTTAAGGGTTTAGGGTTTGGGTTTACCCAGTTTGGACTTGTTCAACTAAAAGTTGGCATTCGGGATCCCTTTTGCGGGTCCGACGGGCGAGGACCCTGTCCTTGTGGAGAGATACTTGAAAACAATGCACTTGCCCCACTAGACCCACTTAACCACCCAAAACTAGTCAGTAGAACCTGCCCGAGGAACATGACAAGCTGTCCACAAAGCTCTGCGTTACAGACTATTGAAGCACAAAACGCTACATGAACCCGAGCTTCTTACAGAAACTTCCAACAGGATTCAAGAATACAAGATATAACCCCATTGTAGAGCCTGTTAAAATATTGTAGTTTCCATGTTCTTTTCCATTATCCCTATATGAGCTATAGTCTAAACTCCTTAAAGGGGGTTATATAGGGGACTACTATAGGGGTTATTAAGGGGGATACCCTAAACCCTAAGCCCTAATCCCTAAACCCTAAAACCAACGTAGTTTAGACTATGGCTCATATAACCCCATTATATACCCCATTATAATTGTTCCATCAACAGCTTCATCCGACAGGATCCTAAGAACCTATATGAGCTGTAGTCTAAACCCCTTAAAAGGGTTTAGGGTTCAGGATTTAGGGTTTGGGGTTTAGGGTTCAGGGTTTAGGGTTTAGGGTTCAGGACTTAGGGTTCAGGATTTAGGGTTTAGGGTCTAGGGGCCCTTGTCTAAACTCCTGGTATCCTCCTCAATAAGACCTATGATACTTCCCTACATTACATACTCCCCCAAAAAAATCTCCGGGGACTGTTATGGGGTTTATGAAGGGGGATGCTAGGGGTTTAGACTAAGGCTCATATGATATAACGTACGGTCTCTATATTAGGAATTAGTACGTACCAAGGTTTAGGTTACTTGAAGGTTCATGGGACTTAGTAACTACTTATAACTGGGCTTATAACCCTACTTATAACCCCCCCTAAATGGCCTTATAAGGGTTACCCCAATTATAAGTAGGGTTATAAGCCCAGTTATAAATAATTACTAAGTCCCATGAACCTCCAAGTAGCATATCCTACATAGGTGCTTGGGATCCTCTAAGCATGGCATAAAAAGCCTTAGCCTAAATCCGAAGGCTGGGCTGTTTAGCACTTAGACATGTCGCCCTCTATGAGCCGCATACTTGGAGGTAAGTAAGTTGGGGTATAGGTTTTGGGCAGGGGGACTTAGTACTTAGCAAGTAGGTTGGTAATGGGGGTAGCTGGGTTACTATATGGGTTCTTGGGGTTATAAGTATACATTCTAAGTCCGCCTGACCCTCCTCCCAACCCCACCTGGTATGAGTATACGGGTAAAGAAGTTTTACTAATAATTGGCAATATGGTCATTGCTCAGGCCCCTACCCATACACCCCTATGCAAACCCACTTTTCAAGGACTCGCTGGTGCCTCATGGAGTTGCCAAAAGAACAAGTTGAAGCTCTGGAGGCCAAGGAATAAGAGTAGGGTTTAGGGTTCAGGATTTAGGGTTTGTAGCGGCAGTGATAGGGAATTTGTGAAGTCACCCTCATATTAATATGTGCATACATAGATGGTAGGGTCTCGTGCAAGGGATACCATCAAGGGACCTGGAATTTTCAGAAATTCCGATTCCCTCCAATTCCCACAACGTTTCCTATTCCAAAGAACTTAAACCCTGAACCCCAAACCATAAACCCCAAACCATAGACCAAAGCATCGTAAGCCCCAAACGTTAAACCCTTGGTGCAGCAGGTCGGCTAACAAGTCAAAACCTCATTGAGTCCAATACCTTGAGAAGTTTCTGGGCCTCAGCCGTCCCAAGGGGAAACCCCCTGATCTCAAGTCGCAAACTTTCATAGGTACGTGGGATTGCGGGAATAATTGCTTTAGTACAGGCTTTGGTTAAGTATACCATTATTGGATACTTGGACCCTTAGGCTTATATAGGGTTTGGGGTTTAGCGGTTGGGGTTTATGGTGTGGATTAGGGTGATGAGCCTGAAGCCACATACCTTGTCCCTA